AACTTACAACAATGTATGGTTAAAATTGTGCATGCATCATCAATATTCAAAATTGCTGAGTGTATTAAATGAAACAAAACTTCATTCATGTCTTGAAATTAAAATTCCTTACACAGACCCATAACCTTGACATGGATTTTAACTGAAAAATGCCCATTTTAATAGAATTAAATAAAAGCTTGTTCACAAAATTACAAAAGCTCATGAGTGATGGTATATCTTGTCTTAAATCAAAAGACACCTTCAACTTAACATTTTCTTAACTTATTAATGAAGTTATTAATTGACATTGTATTAACAACCAATTTGTATATTTGAGTCTGCATGCAAATATCAATAGGCTTTCTTATTTCCTCATTTCAATAGATATATGTCTTAAAATGTCTGAAGAAGAAAATGTTAAGTGTTTTTGTATATTTATCAAACAATTATGATATGAAGTATATTTAACAAATAGTATAAATTGCAGTATACTATAATGCACAGCTAGGATAAAGTCAAAGCAAGAATAACATAGCATTAGGTTCAAAATACACACATTTACTCTCAAAATTTCAGCAATATGTAAGCCAGTTTATACAATTTAAATTTAATTATCTATATAATTATCTATATAATGCCTAGTGCTCAATTTTACCACTCACAAGTATTGAGATCATAACTGTTAAGTTCCTAAAGATGATCTTATTGTTTGATAGGTTTGCATGGTTATTTTACAATTATGTAGATGAAACTTTTAAAAACTTAATTTGGACATCATTTACATGTATTTATATGATAGAGATTTTGACCCAAACCAGCACTATAGTTTTAACATTTTATAAGAATCACTATTGACTTGCATAAATTAGAAATGTGTTTTGTTTTCTCTTCCCACCTACAATACAAAGTGAATTTGCCTCTTTTCCAAAATATTATTCTTAAAATTATGATATGTACAAATAAGATCTCAAAATTATCAAATACTCCACTGTTTACACATAATGCATGACATGTTACTGCCAACATTAATATCATTGAATAATAAACAATTAAAGTCCAATGTCTTTAAATTTGAAATATAAAACTTGCTTTTAATGCACTCATATAAAAAAAGAAAATTAGAAGACGTTTCCTACATAAATGCCAAACTCTATTTTATTTGAGTTGGAAAGGGGAGACATATTTTCATTCATTTTGGCCTTATTGAAAATAATGAAATGGTGAATCATGGAGCTTTATATTGCTTCATATTTGAATCCATGGTTTACATAACATTTATAATTTTATATAGATGACTTAATCAACTCTCACATTTGGTAAAAAATGAAAATAATGTTTAAAGTTGATGAGAAAACACTTTTCAACATTACTGATATGATCAGTTGTTGTTCTATAGAATTTAGAAAGGGCAACTGCATGGTATTCAGTACTCAAGAGTTGTCCTTTTATGTATAAAATATTAATGTATGAATCCCAATATGAATTTAGAAAACTATATCATATACTATCTAAATGATATGATAATATTCTGTCATAATAATATACCCAAAGCAACAGTATAAGATAACAATATTGTAAACATACTACAATACACTTTTTAAAGTAACTTAAAATGTGAGCATTGTCTGAGTGTAAATCCAGTTAGTTATAAGTATTGAACCATTGCATTACAAACATATTTTCTGGTTTCCAGATGATCATGGCAGTTTATAACTATATATATATATATAGTAACTACAAATTATCACACTGTAATACCACATTTGACAATTTATTATTTGGCACGAAACTGACATCAGACAAAAAACATACAAATAAACATATGAGACAATGGTCCTGTGAACGTTGCCTTTGCTTTGTTGATCTTTATTCTTGTTATTGAATGATTTTAATAAGATATTTAACCCTTTCCCCCATGAGTATATTGTGAAAAATGACCATTTTCACTGAAAAGCCTCCTCTTACAAGTTCAAACTGCTATGAAACTATGAAAAATGCTTCAATACTAATCAAACTTGGCACAAATGATGACTGGACCATTGCCTTTGTAACGACATGCTCAGTCCTAAATTTCCTGTTACCATGGCAACGAGGGGACATCTCAAAATTGCCAAAAATCACTATTTTGCCTCGATTTTTTCCATCAAAATTTATTTCAAAGTGCTGCAACTTCTGAAGGGATTGAGATAGAGTCAAAGGCTTTTTCAGCGTTGGTTACACGTTACCTTATGATCGACCTGGGGTCATTTTAAGCCTCTCACAAGTCCAAAATTTTCTTGGCGATGACGGGGACTCCACCCCCCTTCAAACCCCCCAAACAGAAGGGGGCACATCCTTGATGTATCTTTGGATGGGGGGGCGGCGCCGAAAAAGTGCTCACTTTTTTTAGCAACATTTCTCAAACGAAAACATGTGTTTGGGGCCCAAATAGGACATTTTTGCACTATTTCAGGCCTAAAAGGGGGGGGGGTCGAAAGTGCGTTGTTTCGCGTATATATGAGGTAAAGGGTTAAAGTGAAGTTTTAAACTGACAAAACAAACAAAAAACTGGCAAAAGTTAACCAACCAAGTAGAGGGGTTTTTGAACAAAGCAGTATTGAACCAGTGGTGTCAGATTTTGGTAATCAATCCTATATATGGTTTTACACTAGCAGTACAATATTTTGTCAGCTTGTTACTCTAATGGTCCAAAATAAGGTAGAATGAGGTAACTACATTTGTTAAGTGAAGTTCAAGAAAGTCAATTAAATCACAGGCAGGAATAAATTTATGTTTGTTTATGCTGAATTTAAAAGATGATCTTAATACTGATATATTACTTTAAAACTTGTTTATCAGTATGACACTTGAACAGATTCAGACTTTTTATGAAAATTGATTTGTTTTTATACCACATTGAGGCTATTGATAGTAAATGGGACTTTATTAAATTCCTGTGTAAATTGTTTAGAATCGTTTTATAATTGAGAATGATGTCCCAATGGCGTTAAAATGTTAGAAGTGACTGTTTTGGAGTTGACAGGGGTAAAATAAGGGAACAAGCAACTTTCTGTGCCACTAACAATAAAATTAATTCACCTAATGGAGGTGAATTAATTTTCTTGTTAAATCTTTGTTAAAGCCTATGTTTTAACAAAACAATAACGCTATTTTTTTCTGAACAACTGATTTTTTTAACAAAGATATTTAACAAAAAAATTAACAACACTTTGTTAATTTTACAGAACTTTAACGTTAACAATGTTTGAACAACAGAATTGCTTAACAACAAAATTTAACACAGAATTTAACAATTTGTTGTTAATTTAACTATGATTTCATTGTTAAATATTTAACAAAAGTTTTGAACAACTGGGCCATTATATATAATCATTAAATATGCATTCATTTCTTATTGAAAAATTTGACTTAGATTTTATAGAAAATAAATTATTTTTTATTACCTCTCTTTATTTACATGAAACGTCAAAATCGGTAATATATTTATAATAATGCTTTTTGGAACTTACAAAATTGACAAATCTTAATTTTAGCATCGTATTTATGGTATAAAACCATAAAATAATGTGTTACAGGATCTTTAAACCACTTCTGAACCTTTGATGGAGTAATAACGGTCCTTTCCAAGTTGCTGTGGCGTGTTCTCAGCAATTTCGGGATGTCGCTAACCAATCTTTGTTTTTGTCTGTGACCATCATCATCCATTATCTTTTTAACCATGCCCAGCAATTTATTTTTGGTTCGTCCAAAGCCAATACGACCAATATGTTTTGTCAACTCAACACTTTTTTTGTTCCTCAGATGCAGTAAGAATAGTTTTTGATGTTAGAGCTAACGGAGTTCTATTTCTGACTATGTCAAACCAAGCCGATCGGCTGACTTCATACGCTGTTGCTGATTCCCGAAGTGAGATTGAACTCAACTGGACTGCAAAAACATTGTTGTTCATCGCGAACTGATTGTATAGCCTCTTGCGAAGTATCACAATATTCGCTACGCTGCTAAGGCAGCGTATATTTACCAATGATCGGGAAGACATAGAATTTTGTAAACTTGATATATAAACTTTAAATCACAAGGTAAAAATAAAGTAGCAAAGAATTTTGTTTGATATATTTTCTTATATTTAATCAAAAGTTATCATCTACAAACGCTACCTGATATTTGTGATCTTCAAAATCATAATGTAAAACGTACTGGCTGTGCACCCATATTTATTTCATGCTTTCTTATGTTTTATTGCAATATATCAGATGATAATATTCTGATAAACCACTAGTAAAATTTATAAAAAATAATTTTCACTGTATCCGGACTATATCTGAATGCGGATGAAAAGAAAATCATTACTAAATGGAATAACAGGCAGAGATAAATGCCGCCATGCGTAAATTTTGCTTCTTTAGGAAAAGAAAGTCGATGTCATCATACATAATGTTAAAAATGTAACAAAATTAGAGGAATGTTGTAACAGACCCACAGATGCTTGAAACAAACTTTTTAAACTTTAATATGGGCTTTATACTATATAAGATATCTTAATATACATATAAAGACCGGTTATGTAAAATATTTGAATATGTAACTAGCGCTTGTGAACAGACATATATTTCAAAATTAATAATGTGACGTCATGACGTGATGACGTCACAAGGGAGAATGCGCGACGTTACGCGGCAAAATTAGTAAAAAAAGGTACTTAAAATCACTCAAAAAGCATGAAATAAAAAGAAAATTTATTTTAAGTTTTACATATAAGATTGAAATATATTTCATTCGTGAAAACCAGCCATTATATTTTCACTCGTGGCTACGCGACTCGTGAAAATATTGCATCTGGTGTTCACTCAGTGAAATTATATTTCAGTCTTACATGCAAAACAAACAAATATCCTCTCTATGATAAAAAACAACCTATTTTAACACGTAAATTCATATAAATCAAATATGACAGTTATCTTCCTGGATGATTTAAAGTGACTTTGGGAAGAGAAACTGCAAATATAGGAGGGCCATTTGTCATGGTATGTAGTTTCTATTGTACAAACTACATCACAATTCTATTGTTTGATTAATGCTTTGAGATATCAGTTACTAGATCTATTTACAAACTGATACATGGTAGTTATAATAACACGTATATTTTGAAACCTTTTTTAAAAAAGGGGACTACATCGGCAAATCTTATGTACAATTTCTACCTGATTAAGGGATTTATGACATTCAAAGATTTAATGTAATTGGATTTTATAGCGTAAATTCATGGACAACGAATATTACAATATCTTCCTGGTTGTTTGAAAGAGGAAGTGCGAATAAAGTCATTTGACATGGTATGTATTTTCTTGCAAACTAAATATCTAATGTTATGTTTGATGAATATTTGATTTTTTCTGTACTTCGAATACAAACATTAATATCGAAACAATGATGTTCATGTCAGCAAGGTTTTATATTTTCTTGTATGAATGATGGTTACATTTTCTGTTTCTTCGTGATTGGTTAAACATATTTATATCAGCTAGTTTTTGCAACTTATATTAATCTCGTTCGATTCCGCTTCCTGGGTCACCAACCAGTTCTGGTGTCATATGGTTGTGACCCGATTAGGGCTCGAACCCATGATCTCAGGGTTGAAAGGCAGACACATTATCCACAAGGCCATCGCTCCCCTTCTTCTTTGCTCTATTTAGGTAATTTAATGATTTCTATAGACTAATTTGATTTTCGGAAAATGTTTATCCTAACGGCATTTTTAGTACAAGCAGGTAGTTGGGCTTCCTATCCTATTTCGAGTACGCTGATCTTTGTTTTGTTCTACCACGGCTGTATTTTAGTCCTTGACCTTTAAAAATAAATTTCAAAATGGCCGCTATAGATTGTTTTTACTTTAATTCTCCCATGGGCGAGATATAAACACATTTCTTTGCGTTTTAATGTAAGTCTTTGTTAATTTTAGTCTGCTGAAGTATAAACAAAAAAAAAATAGATGCAAAAAAAAAAAAAAAAAAAAAAAAAAAATAAGAAATACTGAAATATAAATAAATGCCTCTTAATGTTTCTAATTTTTGTAAGACTTGTAAGACTTTTACAGTAACTATGCCTTCAATGTAAATTAAAGCTTCAGAGACATTTCAAGTGGCATGTCCTTGTTTATCTTTGTTTACATAATTATCAGGAAAGTGCAAAAATAGTTGGTATACATTTAAGTCACTAAAATTACACTAAGAAATACCAAAGTAATTTCATAGAGTTATAGTTGAAAAATATTGGATAAAATAATTACATAGTTACAAATGACATAAAAATATGCTATATCATAATGGAATAACATACTCTATCAATTTCTGGAATGATAGCCAATAACAAAATAAGTATATATTTTATTCACTTGAATGATTTTTGAAACATGAGATAGAATAAATAGAGGATATTTAGGAAATAGATATCAATTCTGAGTGCATTGTTGTAGAATAATGCACGGTTTGAGTTCAAATGCGTAGTAATATAATCACGAAGGCCGATAGGCCTGAGTGATTAATTACAAAGCATTTGAACGAAAAACGTGCATTATTATACAACAATGCATGAAGAATAGATATCTATTTCCATTCTAACACGTCAAGAAAAAAACATAATTATTATAATAAAGTTGGACTTTATGTTTATTGGATAAATTTGTTTTCGCCTCAGAGTTTCAAATAGAAACGTTCTTTAAAGGCTGTTCCAGTGGGTTGAAAAAGAACTGTCGTTAAATCTAGCGTGTGTAGAAACATTTTGAGAATAACGAATTTTGAAAATGTTGATGAATCTTTGTTTGTTTATTTTATTTTACTCTATAATTTTTCAAGCGAAATACAAATTATTAAAAGTGTAATAAGTGTAAAACTTAACTCGTTTGCGACATTAAAATAGCGTACTTGATTTGATTGTTGTGCACGTGCTGTTTGGCGCTACATTGTGACGTCACGTAAACAACACTTTAAACGTCTGTACAGCGTTAACGACTGAATTAAAGATATTGGTGTTCGGATTAATTTTCTTAGTTAAACCATTTTCTTTCATTCTAGATAGTTTTCACAGCAAAATTCGACAAAAATTGTTTTTATTTATCATATTTTTCAAACAAAATGGCGTCCTCATTGTGAAAATACACAGGGAGATAATAAGAACGGCGAGTGCATTGTTGTAGAATAATGCACGCTTCAGGCCTTCTTTGTTTATATAGAAAAATTTCCGATAGTGTTAGAATTGTTTGTTTTGCATGTTAGGTTGAAATCTAATTTCACTGAGTGAACATCAGATGCAATATTTTCACGAATGGCGTAGGCCACGATAGCTGGTGTTCACGAATGAAATATATTTCAATCTTATATGTAAAACAAATAATTTTTCTTTTTATTTCATACTTTTTAAGTTATTTGAAGTTTTTTTACTGATTTTGCCGCGTAACGTCACGCATTCTCCTTTGTGACACCATCATATCATGACGTCACATCATTAATTTTGAAATATAGGTCTGTTAAATTCTCTAATTTTGTTTCATTTTTAACATGATGTATGATGACATCGACTTTCTTTTCCTAAAGAAGCAAAATTTACGCATGGCGGCATTTATTTCTGCCTGTTATTCCATTTAGTTATGATTTTCTTTTCATCCGCATTCAGATATAGTCCGGCTACAGTAAAAATTATACTAGTGGTTTATCAGAATATAATCATCTGATATATAACAATAAAACACTGGAAAGCACGAAATAAGGCGCTAAATATACATCTTTGGCAAAGTGACATATAATGTGCGCGTTGATATTAATTAAGATAATGAATAAATATCAATGAATTAAGACAAAACGCACAAAATCTCGTATTTCAGTTAAGTAAATAAAATTTATGAGATAGGATTCGAGGGCATATATTTTACATGATTTTAGTAGCAAAAGAACCAAAATCGTCTATCAAATCATTTTCGGGTAATAAAAAATAGGGTAAACAGCAGTAAATCGTCAATATATTAATTACAGAATTGGCATCAATTAACTATCTAATCTTCTATGCATGAACCATGCATGAACCATCATCAAATACCTGCGGTAGACCTATAATGTTTTACTCTGTTTTATTCATTAACCGTTAGACAGTGCAAGGTCGTAGACTGTTTATGGTTCAACAATAAAACCGCTGTTTACGAGACTTTTTTTCAAAGTGAAAGATAATAAAGATAAAGTACCCTCCATGTACAGGCTCAATCAAACCGGGCCTACGACGTTTTAAATTTTGCCGTTTTGATCGTGTTGTAGGGATTCTTTTATTTCTTCTTTTTCTATTTTAAACCGGGTCGTACAATAGATATTGTTGCAATGACATGTGGGTCCAGAGACATAGTTGCTGACCGGTGAAAATGAAAGGAAAATTTTGAAATATTTACATACTGACATTGACTCATGGTATTCAAATTATAAAATGATCTAGTGTCCATAAAGGTTTAAACAAATGATAGGAATTCCTATGGGTATTAACTGTGCACCCCTGGTCGCCGATTTGTTTCTATATTGCTATATGAAAGAGATTTTATGTTGTGTTTCTCTGAAAATACACAACAAGATGTTATATTAGCATTTAATAACACTATCAGATACCTTGATGACATTTTTAATTTAGATAATTCTTATTTTAATCAAATGGTGTCTAATATTTATCCTACTGAGCTACAACTTAATAAAACAAATTCTTGAAATTTAACTACATCATTTTTGGATCTTCATAACACTATCAAAAACAATTTTATTCACACAAAAATCTATGATTAAAGAGATAACTTTGATTTTGGTATTGTAAATTATCCTCATTTGGATGGATCCGTGCCGCATGCTACATTTTACGGGGTTTATATATCTCAGTTAATTAGATTCGCTAGAGCTTGTAGCAACGTAAATGATTTTAACCAGCGAAATATTTTCATTACCGGTAAGGAAATCAAACAGGGCTACCGCTATTATAAATTACGTAAATATTTTACAAAATTTTACAATCGTAACTTTGATTAAATTTTAAAATTCAATAGTGATCTAAAAACTCTTCTGCGATAAGGGATTAGCCAGCCTGATTTTTACGGGGATGTTGTTTTACAAACTTCGTAAGATCTTGGGTCATTGTAATTTTTCTGTTGTCTTTACGAAAATTATTAAACGTTTTATTAAAATGGGTTATGACCCTACTATTATCAGACATACCGCATGCTTAGTGTTCAACCCATTTACAGTTGGACGCTACGCTTTCCTCTTTTGATTACATCTGATGGACCAGTGGGAGACTCTATGATGGACAGTTCTTAAAGCCCTTTGGGACTGAATTGCTTTAATGTTCGTCTTCTGTCTTGCTTCGTCGGGCCCTTGTAGGTGATATTCTTGTTTAAGACATTGAGTACTTTTGTTATGGTCATTGGGTTTTCTTTTGTATGTTTCTACATGAGCATATCGATGTTTGACTTATTTCACCTTTTGTAACCATGACAACTGTTAGAATTTCTTTGGCGGGGATTCTTTTTTTTACACTGTCTCGTTTATAGGAACATGGTGGGGCTAAGAGTGAGGTTTTGTGCACCATTAACCGGTTTAAACTCCCCAGCAGTATTTGTGCTGCTGACCGTTCCAAGGCAGCGCCCCTCTGTGTTCCTCAGATGTTTGTCTATGTTGTTTTATTCTGTTTTGGTGACACTTTTGTTTTTCTTGTTGTTTTCACGTCCACGGTAAGTATCTTCCCCTTTGCCCCTAGTTTTTATTTATTCTATTCCCTCCCTCCCCGGGTTTCATGTCCCCTTCCCCTGTGCCTTTTGACTTTACGGGCCTAATATTTAATCATTTATTTGTTTTCTTTTGGTTCCTTATCAGTTACTAATTATTTATTCTTAGGTAGTGGTTTGCCTGCCCGTGCTCTGCCTTGTGCCCTTTCCTGTTTTGTTTGGGGTCCTCCTGGGCTCCTTGCCACTGGGTCGGGTGGGGGCTGCGTTCATTGAACGCCGCCTTTCCTTGATGATCTTGTTTATCATATTTTACACAAATGCTATCCTATCAAAATAAAAAACTAAAACATCTAATGGTAAATTAGAATGTGCAGGTTTCATGTTAGACATTTAGGATCTCAGATACCTGACACAGATCAATTGTCCATAAAGAACGACCTGTAATAGTCTTAAGTAATGATGCAATTCACAATTAAAGTTTGCAGTATACCAACACATTGTGTACAATTCGATATGACATGTTGCTTATATGATTATCATATCATATCATCCCTAAAGAAGGATCCATTTGTTTAAAAGCACTTTCTTATATAAGTTAAGAAGGTGTTCATTTTGAAATCAATGGCCGGCATAGCAGTCAATTTGTAAATCATTTATCAGCCAAATATTCCAAAAAGTAACTGAAACTTTATTCCATGTAGATGAACGGACATACAATACAATATGAACCAGAAATAATAAATTTTTAAGTAGATGGTTAAGGACAATGGCGGCCATTTTGATTTGACCTTTAGAAGTTCAATACTTTGAGTACAGCCGTGGTAGACCAAAAATAGATTCAGCGTACCTGAATTATGTAACCTGCTTATGCTCAAAAATGCAGTTAGACTCTTAACGGAGGGTCTTTTCTGAAAATCAAACCCGTCTATGAATCTAATTTAGCTGATTTTCACATTAGTTTTACTGCGCACGGTATCTTTACAATAATACATATTTCAACATAATATGATACTGTTTAAAATCTGCTGTGACCATTTCCACTTGTTTTTGTTAGGCTACAAGAGACTTGCTCGTCGGGGCGATAGACTTCGGCAAAACATATTCTGGCTGGGCTTTCTCCTCCCTGAATGATTTTCTGTTGGATCCTACAAAAGCGTCTGGCAAGCAATGGCACTCAGGATCTGGAACTCTAGTTACAGAAAAAGCACCCACGTGTTTGTTGATAAAGTCAGATGGAAAGACCCTCGAAGCTTTCGGATATGATGCTGAAAACCAATACAGGGAGCTTGCAGACAACGAAATGCACAAGGAGTATTATTACTTCAGAAGATTTAAAATGGCGCTAAATAAAAAGCTTGGTGAGGTAGGTACTTGTCACTGTTGACTGACTGTTCTAATGTGACTCTATCTTTTGTGTATCATTATCAGAATTTCGATTTACAAATGTCAGGAAAAGGAATGGACATAATTTGTTTATCTCCTTAAAAAAGTTTATATAGATAACAATATACATGCACTAATGGACATATGATTTAAGAATTGTTGGTTGGTATTTCAAAAAGAATGACTTTTAAACTACAGAAACTGGACCGCGGCATGACAATAGAAGATGAGATGGGAAAGTCGATGATTGCGTTAAACGTGTTTGCCATGGCAATCGAATATCTGGTAGGAGATATGATGAAGAGTGTAAATGCTCAACTTAAAACTCCTTTAAAAAAAGATGATGTTCATTGGGTACTTACTGTTCCGGCAATATGGACAGATGCTGCAAAACAATTTATGAGAGTGGCCGCGGTGCAGGTTATATTCGTCTTCTCTTTTTCATGTAGACGTTCAAGCTCATTTATTTAAATGCTACATTCATCTGTATGTAAAACATTTAAAATTTGTAAACGTGTGTGTATGTGTTGTCATTTGACAATTAGTTTCAAAGAATGCAAATTACTATGTTTTATGCTATTGTGGGAAATTGGAATAGAAATATGTATACATGTACTAGACACCGTACTGTTTGCTTTTATAAACCTATGGTAATGTAAATGTTTATTCTCTGAAAACATATGTTCGTCAACTATGTTTAAAAGTAAACTTTTGATATATACTTATTTTGTTTGTTTTTGTTTCAAGGCTGGCCTTTTAACGAACAAATTGACGATTGCACTGGAGCCAGAAGCAGCATCGATATTCTGCCGCCATCTGTCAGTGGATACAGCTATTTCTGGTGGAAATATTTCATTAGCGAAGATGCCTGTCGGTACTAGATACATGGTTCTCGATGCAGGAGGTATGAATCTTTTTCTTTTATTTAAACGAAAGACCAAATCACATATGTCTCTATATCGGACTGTGATTTTTTTATCCTAGGTTTTTATTTAGTCAAATATCTCGTAATTCTTATTTTTTTACTATCGGCAGAGTTATAGTTTTGTCAAAGTGTTGTTTAACAGAGAGGGATTGGAATAAAACTATACAGTAGCGATAGTTTACTTGTTTCCGGGGATAGTCTGTCTACCTTTTTATTTCCTTTTAATCGGGACAAATGAAATCACTATGCTGGAAGCTTAAAAGAGGAGTTTGTTCTTGCAATTTAGCGTAATTTGATGCAGAAGTTGACTTTTCAAAACAAAATCAGGCATTACATATATAATGGTCAAAGAGGCTGATGACGTTGTCATCCTAACTTTTGATATATCCAGGTAAAAGGATTTTCCTGTTTACAATTCATAGGATCTTCCGTTAATCCGTTATTAGATTGGGGCATATTTCCACATATTGGTAGCTTAATATATATGCTGCAATTCCCTTTCAGAAATAGTCAATTAAAACGTGTATATACAGTATATATGTTTTCACAATTACGGTTCTAGATAGTTTGGTGTTTTGAGCCTGCTTTTGTCGCCCCTATAATCAATTAAAACAAATATTTGCAAATGTCATAATCAGATGATTAAATGTCATGACATAAATAGTAACTATCAATGAAATATAGAAGAGCTGAATAGACTTTTTCCGATTTTCAAATTCATTTGTACTGTAGGTAAACGTAACTCGAAATCGAAATCTGGAAATAAAGTGATCCCTCGGAAGCATTAATCACAACAAAATACAAGAGAATTGCAGCCTCGGTTTGATTGAGTCTGTACATGAGAGATAATGAATGAGTGCAACATCCCTCACGCCCCCTAGCACCGGCTTGAGCGGTACTCAATTCTCAACACTTAATAGTGCTGGCATCAATGATCCCGAAGGACCAGGAAAATATAACAACACTGAAATGAAGTACGGGGCAACTTTTTACAGCTGCCACACAGCACTTGACACCTGCTGTTGTGAGGTATAAAAATCTGGAAATAAAGTGATCCCTCGGAAGCATTAATCACCTTATGGTTCATTTTCTCGAAAATGCGCTCCATACATTGATTGTAAATTCTTATATATGTATATATATTAAAGGAAGCCTAAATACTTTCTAAAGAAGAACATTACGGTCATTCATAAACGTACCATCGCTACACTTACTATATAGTTATATTACAATTCCTCTGTATAATAAAACCCTTTGATAAGACTATGACTCGGCCGATGTATGTTGCTTTGACTTTGACTACTGGCATTTGCAACTATAAATTATACGTTAATTATGTATATACAACTTGATTTTAAGATTTTAGTGAAGTGCCTTTGTTCATCATTAGAAATCGGCGATTGATTGAGAGTTGCAGTATGCCACAAGCGTAAAATCAGCCCGTTGTCTTGTTTTCCCTTAATATGAATCAATCCGGTGCTCAAAAAAATTTACAGGGTTGTCAAAATATACGTATTACAAATTCATTACTGGACAGAACATTTTACTAAAACCATTATATTATCGCGGAATGACTTTTTTCTATAATTGATCATGGATTACCCGTAAAGTCAAGCTTAATAATTACTTTTTTGGCAATTTATGCTAGTGTTTGCTACTACTTCACTGACATGTGAAATTTGTTTTTCGATTCCAACTCATAAAATGCCGTAACCTTATAAAGTTTTATATGAATTCAATAAACATTGTAATGTTCCGTGCAAGTAGAATATTCAAAGACTGAAAGATGTAAATGTGTTTATTTTATATATTTTCATACCTTGTTAAGCTAAAAATCCATTTTATCTGAATCAACCGGTGCCAATAAATCCAAATCACTTCAGGAACGGGAAAATATTCCAAATCAGCTCGGAACGATTACGCACCGTGTATATATGACTATGCATACTTTTGAAAGAGACTTTATTTTCTCTTGTCGGTCTTTACATTAACAATCGTTGTACATGTACATAAAATTCCACTTTCTTCGACAAAATGATAAAATCCGTTTCTTCTTATTACATCATAACTTGTATGTTGATTTCCAAATTCTTAACAGGAGGTAACCCCTTCC